GCCGCCTCCTCTACCCAGAGGTCTCTGGGCGTCTTACAATAATTAAAATTCAATACAATAAGAGATAAAATGATTAAAATACAATTAAAATTGCCATCAGGACCCACAGTTGATGTTATTTCAATTAAAAGCCTTCTGGAACAGGAAGGTTTTGACCTGGCGCTGAAATGTCATCAACGTCGGCGCCAGACGAATTTCAGTCGGGAGGGCATTCCATAGTCTGGGGGCAACAACTCCAACCTCTCATGTATATTGGATCCTTGCCCTTTCTGTCTTGTAAAACCAGATAAGGACTGGCCAAGGAACCAAGAGGCGTGCTGAATGGCTCCTCACGGCAAGGTAGGATGCCAGTGTGCTTAAAGGAGGAAACTGTAAGACCTCTTCTGGAAAAGCTCTCTTTTTAATACCACTTTTAATACCCACTGTATTAGATAATTATTGGTCAGTCTCAAATATTCCATTTTTGGACATGGTATTAGATTGGGTGGTGGCTCTCAGGATTCCATCTAGATCCATTTCAGTCTGGCTTCAGACATGGTTATGGGATGAAGATTGCCTTGGTCACCATAGTAGATAATCTATACCAGGAATTAGACGGGAAGTGTACAGTACTCTGTTAATTCCAGTGGACCTCTTGGTGGCTTTCAGTACTATGTACTATGATACCTTTCTGAGCCATCTCTCTAGGAAAGGATTTAGAGGCATTTCTTTGCTGTGGCTCCAGCCCATCTTGGAAGTGTGAACTCAGCAGGTGGTGCTGAGGAATTCATATTCAGTGCCTCGGCCTTTGGTGTCCCTCATGGTTTTGTTTTGTCCCCTGGGAAGGATAGCTTCCCACGCTGGGACAAGGTTATAATCCCAAGGCGGGGACTATAGTCAGATATCCCAAAAACACAGTTTCGCACAGCCATTTGCGGTGCACAGGAACATGAAATTATCAAAGCGTTCAAGGAATAAACTCTTTGAAGTGGTGGATGGCATGAACACAGGAAGCCTGTTCTTAGTTTTTGTTTGTTTGTTTTGTAACTCTTTCCATATCCTGCAACCTTTATTTTGTGGCTTGCAGCCAAACATAATCTTTATTTTATTTTACCTTTTTATTATTTCTTTTAAAATAAACTTTTATAAGACTTTTTTTCCTGGACATTACTTTTGGAGGAACCCAGGTTAACTAAGTCTCATGCCTAGCTAGCCCAGATGGACCATGACTACCTTTCACATGGGAGATGTTTGCAGCCTACCTAAAACGGTAACCTGTGCTCTGGAACCTCAGTGGGATTAGGTTCCAGTCCTGATCACTTTTCAAGGGTTTCCCCCACCTTGAAGGGGAAGAGTTGGATGCTGTGGAATCCAATGGAGGGGATCAGAGAGATTGTCCCATGACAGTATTTACACCTGGCTCCTTCCCAAACAGGGAAGAGGTAACAAGTGGGGTCCCAAAAGGGCCAATGCTCTTCAATACTTTTAGTAATGACTTTGATAAGGGGGTGCAAGGAACGCCAATCATATTTGCAGATAACACAAAATTGGGTAGAATAGATAATACCAAGGGAGTTAGAAACGTTGCATGTAGATAAGAAATTAAAACAAGAAATGTCTAGGGAGTGTAAGCTGTTTTTAAGACTGTTAGACAAATCTTGGAGACCTCTCCACTCTCCCTTATCACATAGGCCTTGAACTGAATTTTCCATTTTTACATTCTAACCTACAGTATTCTCTTGATTGGAGAAAACTTTTCCTGACAGAGATTGAGGTGTACTGTACCATGTTTTCAAGAGATAAAAATAATTTGAGAGCACGTGAAGGAAGCTTTTTCCTTGCTTTTGTTCTAACCTCTGCTTGTTATTAAAAAGAGCCTCGTGGCGCAGTGGTTAAACCACTGTACTGCAGCCAAAACTGTGCTCACGACCTGGGTTTCAATCCCAGGTAGCGGCTCAAGGTTGACTCAGCCTTTTATCCTTCTGA